GGAAGACGCCATAAACACAAAAATAAATCTTATTAAAGACTCAAGGGGAGGCTCGGAATGAGAAGCAAAAATCCAAAGGAAAGAGTGATACTCCAACAAAAGGTTGGAGTGCACAATGAAAACCACCCCGGAAGAGACTCTACATCTTTTTGGGTCCTAACATGGCTGCAACACTTGAAAAAAAAGCTTTAGACATTTTATCGAACACCCGGCGGACAGAAAAAGAAATATATGATTTGCACCGATGAGACTTCAGAATTTAACCCATATATAATCCCCTTTAGTCCATGGAATTTAAACCATAGAATTTAACTAAAATAGAACTGTATTATCACTTCTAAAACGGGGGAGGGGGGCTTGGCAAATGGAATCTCTTTGTATGAGTTTGCAGCGAAGTACAAGAAACAATTCCGAAAACCTTCCAATGCCCTGAAGTGATTTGAAGGCGAACAGGACTTCCGATCATAAAAAAAAACGGTGATAATTCCAATGTAATAAGATTTCTGATTTCTCTAACACTCGGTGAAATTAATTGTAAGGCCACCAAGTGTCACAGGTCCTGAATCTGCTATCTTTGATCGTGGAGGTGAAGGTCCGTATTAAAGTTGTTTGAAATTGATTTCGATTTTGGATGATTAGTTCGTATCAATCATTTGAAGAACTCATATCAGATAGATATATGATTTTCGATTTTGATTTTCGAGTATTGTTTGGTGTGTCGATGTATATCTTGGAGTTTGATGTGAGAAAGCTAAGTTGATCTCTTGGTGTCGAACTAGTTTTAAAATTGACTGAGATGGTTTGAAATCAATGGTATCGGTGTCAAGAATCGAAGAATGGATTTTGATTTTGAAGGGGGGAGGCTTACTGATTAAGTGTTTCTTACTTTCTTTGATCATTATTTCACTTCTTTCTAAGGTCAGAAATCAACGACTTTTCTGCGTAAATTTGCTGATTAGTTTTTCCTATGATCATTGTTTAAAGTTTCTAAGTTTGTAAGTTGATCGATTTATTGTGGTTTGTGACCAACGTAGAGGACACTACACACTACAGGTGTATGTATGTGAATGTGATTACAAAGTGTTTGATACTTTGTTCTATGTCTTTTTTACTCATTGTTCAGGTCAATGTACAGTTGTTGATGATGCATATGTATGTGATTAGTCTGTGTTGTGTAACCAATGTGTGCATATGTATGTGTTTATGACTAATGACTTTATGTGCTTCTTAGTTTGTTTAAAGTGTAAACTTGTACATTCTGACTTTATTTGTTTCCTGGATGGATTTATGAGTTTTAGTTGCTTCTTGATGATGCATTATTCTAGAAACGTTGAAAACTTGGAAGATGATTTGGATTTAGAAGAGAGAGAGAGAGAGAGAGAGAGAGAGAGAGAGAGAGAGAGAGAGTTGTTGTGTTAGATTAGATAGTAGGAGTATTTGACAATTTGGTATGAGCAATGTTTTAAACTTATAAGTGTCATTTTTGTTTTCACGTTACCTATTTAGGAGTAGGTAGGGTAGGTGATGGAAATTTATTTTTTCATGATTTAAAAATATAACTGTCATTTTCATTTTTGGTAGGATCTTGCAAAGGCAAAAGCGAGCAGCAACTTGTCTTAATTCAGCAATGGATTCTTCTGCAAAATCATTCAATCCAAACAAGCATTTGAAAGAACAGTAAAATCCTCGTTCTTCTTAGTGATTTTCTGTAACAAATCAGATTATGTATTATTCGATGGAAATGACATTGTGTGTAATTAATGTTTATCAGATTTGTGAGCGACCTAACTGGATCTTCCATGGTTGAAGTTTTTGTACTTTCAGCAATATTTTCTGTACGTATGTTTTCTTATTCTTCCTCAATGAAATGAAATGAAGTTGTTTAATGGTAATTGAGCTTCTAACATTTTGCTTGATTCAGATGCTTATTCTCCTGCGACATACCATCAGCATCTACAACAAAATAGGTGATTTCTGCGATTACAGAATATGAAAACATTAACATTATTTTGGGGAAATATGTTAATGTTATTCAGTTGTTGAACAAATAGCATTTAATAAATTCTTGTTAACATGATTTTCTGCAGTGTTTGCTTTTTCCTCTTTTCTTTTTCTTTTAGTAAAATGGATTAATTTGGTTTGCAATTGCATCTCCAGATGAAGAAACTTCATCAAAGAAAAAAACAGTTGGGTCATGGGGGGCTTACATCATCAGAATGATAGTAGATTTCCTCTCCATTGTTCTTCCTATCACTCTGGTTTCTACAGTAAGCCTGTTGCAGATCTTCTCTTGTGTTAGTGTTAGAAGTTAGATTAGAAGACTTATATAATAATATGAATAAAATGTGAAAAATTCTTCACAGGTTCTATCAGAATGGAGTTACACGATTGGGGTTGTATTTGTATTGGTGTTGTTTATCTATTTTGCATATAAGAGGTAATAATATATCTTCTTAATCTTCCCTCTGTTATGTTGTTATTTTTTCCAATAAATCATTATCCTACAAAAATCTTCCATATGATGCAACAGAGATGGATCTTGGCATCAGGAACAAGGGGTTCATATTCATTCTCTTAGGGAATGTGTATCATCATACAGGGTTTCATTGGTAACTTCAACATCATTATATATTTCATTTTTCTGTTGCTCTAAAATAAAATTTTGATTGTGTTTTGTGCAGATGCTTATCACATGTGTTTGTATTTTGGCTGTTGACTTCAACATATTCCCTAGAAGATATGCTAAAACCGAGACTTATGGGACTAGTTTGGTAATTATCATATATTTAACAATATCTTTTATTGATAAATAAAAAAAATCTCTATATATATATATATATATATTTTTAGATGGATGTTGGGGTAGGTGCATTTGTTTTTGCAAATTCATTGGTTTCACGTCAAGCGCGGGGAATTGCTACAATGTGAGTGAGTCATCAATTAAATTATGTTTCTGAAACAAACACTTATTTATTTATTTTTGGTATTTTAGGGGTTTAAACTTAAAAAGTGCACTCACGTCTAGTAGCCCACTGCTAGTGCTAGGTTTTGCTAGACTTGCTTTTACATCTGGTGTTGACTATCAGGTACATAAACTCTGTCTGTTTCTTTTCTAGACTGAATAATAAATAAATGACTATTCTACCCCTTATAGGTTCATGTGGGAGAATATGGTGCTCACTGGAATTTCTTTTTCACACTTGCTGGTGTAGCAGTGCTGACATCACTTGTCAATGTCTCTCCAAACTATTGTGGGCTTTTAGGTTCATTGGTACTAATAGGTAGGTACCAAGTATAGTTTTATCTTCTTAATTAATAATTATCTTCTTTTTATAAATTATAATTATATTTTCCATTTGCATTTAGGCTACCAAATTTGCCTAATCAGTGGATTGAACGTGTATCTGCTATCTGCTGAAAGAGGAACAGACATCATCAGTCAAAACAAGGAAGGAATCTACAGCATATTCGGTGAGGTATTTTAGGAAATACATAACAAGGGTAAAATTGTCTTTTTTTTTTTGGTTTTGGTAATCATTTAGTTGTTTTGTTTCCTGTTCAGGATATTGGGGGCTGCATCTTATTGGTGTTTGGTTAGGCAACAAACTTTTGTTTGGGAAGAATATGAAAAGTAATGATTGGGCAAGAAAGAGAGTTTGGACTCTATTTCTTTTCTTCTGGTATATATCTAACTTTTTAGAGTAAATTTTGTATTTTCAGTTTTCTTTTCCAATTTTGATGCCTAATTTCAAGTGTTGTAACAATTTTGGCAAGATAAAACTATTTGGGACCAAAAGTGTAATTTTTATAACAAAATACGTTTATTCTCATCTTCCCAGGTGTTTGACTTTGATTCTGGACAGTTATGTTGAAAGACCTTCACGTAGAATGGTTTGACTTTTCCATGATTTATTTATTATTATCTGTAATATTTTTAACAAAAAGTTGTGATGTTAAATTGTTAATTGATTGTTTATTACTTTTCAGTGCAACCTGACATATGTCACCTTCGTATTGGCTACAAACCTACAGGTGATTCTTTTTTTTATTTTTTATTATCACTTTGTCATATTTTTTATTAAAAAAATAGAAAGTCATTTTTTTTTCAGACCTTGGGAATAATAATGCTCTCTGGTGGTAAAAAGGTGTCACTACTGGAACAAGCAATCAACCGAAACTTGCTAGCGGTTTTCATTGTGGTAAAGTATTTTGAGCTTCAAATTTTGTTCATCAAAGTTTTTTAGTTAAAAAAAAAAAAAGTAACAATTTGACATGAATTTATGCAGGCAAATTTATTAACAGGATTAGTGAATTTATGGATGAATACCCTGTTTGTGTCTCCAGTCACAGCACTATTTATATTAGTTGCATATGGTTTTATTATTTGTTGTGTTGCTGGATTTGCAGATTATAATGGTATTAAGTTAAAGTTTTGGTAAAGATTACTTGTAATACCAATTTTCTTTTTGTTGTTTTTAACTATACCTTGATGATTTGAAGCCAAATGCCATCTTGAATTGAAACCCCTTTCTTTTTGTTGTTTTTAACAAAGTATTTTAAAATAGTTTTTAAAACCATTTAAGTAAAATGCAGACATCCCAAAACATCAAAATCTTTCAACAAGCAAAGTATATATATATATATATATATATATATATATATATATATATAATATATATATATACAATCAATAAAGTAGAATATGTATCATAACATACTCTACTATTTCAAACAATACAAAAGTTTTCTTTCTAAAACTCCATATCTCCAAAATGCACCACTGAAGACGCTACAAACCCGAGCACATATAAAAATAGTGTATTAGGCACATATAAAATATTAACGTAATTACTGATATTTAATCCATAGATTAATAATAATCCATCTTCATACATTAGCTACAGGTGGATTACTTCAACATATGAAACATTAGAATTCATCTAACATACTAATTCACTAACGAATTACATTTAATAACCTACGATACTTACAACAAAACAAACTTGTCATTGATCATAACATCTGTGTAATCAACTAATCATTCATATAATCTCTCAAACTACCGAAAATTTTATCCAAGTCAAACTTGGTTTTCAACAAACTATGATTCAGCAGGTTGTTCATTAGAAGCATTATCTTCTTCAGTTTCACTTTTGTCAGCATCTTTTTCACTAAATGCTAAAGTAATCGCCCTATCCATCAACTCCTGCATTACATACATATTTACAAGTTCATGAATCATGCCATTAAACATAAAGTCTCTTTTTCCAAAATAAAAAATGAAAACTTAAATCTAAAACAGAAGAAAAACTTACCTTCCCATTAAAGGTGGAAATTGCAGATTCTGCTTCTTCTTTAGTTGCAAAAGTGACAAATCCATATCCTGCTGATCTTCCTTCAGGGGTTTCAAAAACAACCCTTGTTGATACAGGGTTTAATTCACCAAAAAACTCTCTAAGATGATTAGCTCTTACTCTCCATGCAAGATTTGACACATACAACTTGTAACGTTTCTCTCCAGGAGGTGAAGCAGGAGGTGATGATGATGATTTCTTGTTTTCTTTTGCAAACTCTACCCGGATAATCCTACCCATTAATTCCTAAATGTACCGATTACCATAAAAGAACTGATTATTGAGATCAATTTTGATAGAAATTAATAAGTGGAAAACAGAGAAGATTACATACATAAGAATCATATTTTTGGATTGCAGAAAGTGCTTCATCTGTAGATGACATTGTAACAAATGCATACCCTCTGCTTTTCCCATCTTTCTTCCTCATTATTATCTGTCACCATTAAAACAATTGAGATTGCTAGGAAACCCTAAATGTTCTTCCGTTTAGCTTCAATTTTTGCAAATTTCTAAACAAACCATATCTAATAATAACAAAGAGTGGTAAATTGATATAGAAATGAACCTCGGCATCTTCTACTGTTCCACATTCACTAAAAAGTTTCTTGAGGTCGTCGACAACGAAAGACCATGGGAGATTAAGAACAAAAAGCCTATTTTGTACGACTTCTTTCTGGGGTTCTTCCGATTTCTCGTTTTCTTCGACCGGAACCTCTTGAATTGTTGACGATGGTGATGACGATGTGAATACTTGGAAGTTTCTTGAAATGGTAAGGGGATATGGGTGAGATTTGTGGTGGAGTTTGGAGGTAAAAGTGGGAAGTGAAATCTTTAACCTTGCAGGGAGTATTAATGGCGGATTTGAAGAATATGAGAGACGGGAGAATGAGATTGGTAGTGATTCAAGTGTTGCCATTTTTGTTCCTGAGCAAAACCCTTGGAGGAAGATTTTCCCTCGCTGCAGAAGGGATAAAGAAGTGAAACGAGTTGTGCTTGTGTTGTTTTTAGTATTGGATTAGTTAGATGGATATTTGATGACAAAATTTTGTCCTTTTCTAGAGGTTTAAAGGTCTAAGAATCAAGTCTAATAAAGGTCTAAACCATTTTTATGGACAAGGGTGTTAATCAGGTCAATTCCATCGACTTCCAGGCTAATCGAGTCGTGCTATTCGGGTTTTTTATTTTTTTTTTATTTTTTTTATTTTTATAAAGATTCCTAAATCCGACTTTTAATAAGATAATGATTAGTCGGGTTTGGGTTTCAAGTTAATAGGATCAAATTAGTCGGGTTATAATGTTGTGTAAATACTTAAAATGTAAAATAGCTTAATATAATGACATTTGTCATCAAATAATGTATTATTAGTCGGGTTATAATGTTGTGTAAATACTTAAAATGTAAAATAGCTTAATATAATGACATTTGTCATCAAATAATGTATTACTAGTCGGGTTATAATAATACATTTGATCAAATCATGTATTATTATGGGTTAAAAAATAGGGATAATGACTTGAAAGGTACTGAACTTTAAACTTTGTTCACATTTAGTCATTGAATTTTTTTCGTACTTGATTTAACAAATTGTTCACATTTTGTCTTTATGACTGGTTGTAACCAGTCATAAGGGTATAATATGAACAATTTCAAATAACTCAAAGGTAAATCAAACACGGAAAAATACTTAATGACTAAATATGAATAAAACAAAAAGTTTGTTATCTTTTCAAGTCATTATCTCTAAAATGTATTATGAAGACACTTTTCCATCCATTTTGTAATGTATGTAGTCTACGCAAAAAGAAAAAGTCATGTGATAAGTCTAAACCATTTTCATACGAACATCTAATAAGTCTCAAACCATTTTCATGAATATGCATGTTCTATGTTATAACTATATGAATGTCTGTTGTACAAATTAAAATTATATAAATAAATTTGATAAGTATGTGTTATTGAAAATGATTATGTTTTTGACATTAACTATGAACTAATAAACATATATTACGATATAATAAAATAAACATATATTAGAATCAAATCAATTAATTACACCTATTTGTGGCTTACTCCTGAGTAAACTTAAATATAATTCTTAATTTAGTGCTAGTTTTAACTCTTGTTATTATTAAATGATTTAAAAATTATTTATTTGACTATTTTTTTAAAATTTTCGTTTAAAATCTATAAGATTGACAATTGAAACCATTTGGCATTTTACAACTTTTCACAAGATACATTGTATCTTAAAATAAATTATGTAATTTCAGAGATGATTAAATAATTTAATCGCCTCCACAATATATCTTTTAAGACATTCTTGTTCATGTAAACCTAATTTGTCTTATCAACATATGGGTGTCATAAAAGTTTTAGAGAACCATAGATTACAAAGTTTTCCAAGATTTTATACATATTAGGAAAATTCTGATAACATACCCTAGTTTCTTACTTAGAAGTTGTAATTCATATAACTTAATAGTATTAGTTAAGTACTTAAGGTTACTAAAACAATGAAAATAATTAAAAAGTTTGAAATCTATTAGTTAAGGACTTAAGGTTACTAAAACAAAGAAAATAATTAAAAAGTTTGAAATCATGTAACCAATGGGCCGTTAAAAAAGATTAGCCCAATTAGTCAATTAAGCTGATATAGTGATATGTTTGTTTATAAACTTTGTATAAAAAGTTATTTTGTGCTTAGGCCCAACCAAAGTTGAAGACTACAACACAACACTACACTTGCACTTGAATCATTTCTAACCCCCAATTTTTTTTGTTCCTTTAACATTAGTTAAAAATACATGTTTTGTCCGAGTGGGTTCTTCAATATAACACTTTGGTTCAACATGTTTGATTAGGGTAGAGCATGGGCCGGGTTGGGTCGGTTTTAGGGTAAACCGAACCCACATAAATTTTGGTTTCTGGGTTTAAGAACCCGTTGGGTTCGGTTTTAAGTCGCTTTCGGTTTCTGGGTATGTGGGTCGGTTTCGTCGATTTTGGGTTCAACCCATGGGTTTTGGGTTTAACTCGGTGGGTTTTGCGTTGTAACCCATTTTTTTAGCAAATCTTTATGACTTAAAAAATGAAACAAAATTAACAACCTAGATTAAAAACCCTAAAACAATTACAACACCAACACAACATCAAAAGTATGTTGCTAAAAGTTTACAACAACCAAGTTTAACAAACAACAAACTTTAATAAGTTTTTAGAAACAAAAACAAGTACCAAACAAGCAAGTTTAAAACAACCAAATTGAAAATTTCATTACAACCACGTTCAATCTTCAATCATCAATCTTCATCCATGCGAATCACTACATCATTTCCTAATTCGTCTACAAACAAAAAAAGGTTAGTATTGAATTATAAACTTATAATTATGCAAAAACAAACAAAAGGTATATATATTTTCTATTTTATTAAAATATATAATAAATTTAATAATACAATATAGGACGGGTCGGTTTTAAGGCGGGTTCAATCCAATGGGTTGGGTCGATTCCTATGGGTCGGTTTTAAGTACTAAAACCGAACCCATAACCCATTTTTCGGTTTTTAAAAATTTAAACCCAAACCCAACGGTTTGGGTTCGGTTTCGGTTTTGTCGGTTTCGGTTTTGCTCACTCCTATAGTTTGATCCCTCCCTCTTGACTTTGTTTCCATTCTATCGTTGACATCCATCATGTGCAAGTCACATGAGGCATTTAAGTCATTCCCCCTATATTACTCGTGTATTACTCGTAGCTGGTCTTTACCATCATTTAGTTCAACACCTCAAAGAAAAGAGTTTCAAGTATCATCTCGAATGTTTGCCAAGAACCATTTCATACAATCTTGCAATAACACAACATTTATCTGTGATCAAAAATTTATTTGAACTTTAGAAGGTGTGATTTTTGTCAAAGGTATTGTCAATATGGAACATCATAGCTCGTAGTAGTGATTTATTTTGTAATCTTTCTTGAATTTTGATGTTTTCTATGAGTTTGGTTTTAATAATAACTATGTAACCAAGCATGTTCATAATTAAGATGTACCATCGCAGATGCTTATACAAAACTTTGTGAAGTAGCTATAGATTTGCAACCATTGTCTTTGTAGATTTCGTTGATATTTGTGTCGCTTGAGTAATGATTTAGATCTCATAATGGAAAAGTTAGGATTTCATGGTAACATCTTTTGACTTTCACTTCTTAATACCAATGGGTAAATTATAGTAAATGGTCTAACATTAAATTGAAATCTATCAATGAATCAATTATAGAAATCGGATCTAAGAAGATTTCAAACCATAGAATCCTAAAATGAAGATCACATATCATGATTGATACATTTCTAAGCCCTTTCTAGTGATTTAAACACCAAACTCTAAGTAGAACTTCCATTGATCTTCAATTCCTCCTTCAGTTTCACCAAATTTTCCTCTAAATTCTCGAATACATAAAAAAAAACGTTCAAATGATAAATGAGGGAGGGAAATAAGGGTTATGTTGTAAACTTTGACTTATTGGCACTTTGGCCCCTAAACTTTTTAGTTTCTTATTTGTTTCCCCAACTAACATCTAGTTCACCAACAAATCTAAGTAACAAAAGAAAATTACTAAAATGCCCTTTTGTGTAACCGAAATAGCTGAATAAACTTTGTAAAAGTTTACATTAATCAAGACGCTAAGTGTTAATAGCATTTCAATAAAATAAATTTAAAATGTAACATAAAAATAATTAAACTAAAAAATAAATTCAAAAGATAAGCTCGAAGAAAATCAGAAAAGCGATAGCAACACATTGTGTTGTCAAAATTTAGGAGCTTGATAACAACATACGTTATTGTCAACCACATTCACAATTATCGTTTTATTATTGGATATAATGATAATTATGGAATAACTGTCGCTTTAAACGAAGGAAAAACAAAGGTTTTGATGTCAATTCGTTTTACTATTCAAAATACTTATCTTTATATATATATATATATATATATATATATATATATATATATATATATATATATATATATATATAAAGAAGATTCGAGTAATTGCAATGGAAAATTATACAATAATGTTAATAATTGAAAATGGACATGAAATGGGGTTTCTTTTTTTACCTTTATATTTTATAAGTATTCAAGATAAGGCTTAGCAGTGACATCATGGCTTAGTCTTGTTGATTATGAAATGGGACCCAAAACCCACTTAAAGCATGGCAAGTTGTGAATATTTAATTTGGTTTTGAGGTGGAAATTGAAAGGCAAGTACAAAGGGGGTAATGGAATATTTGTATGTCTTGCTCATTTATTGCGAAAAAAAAAAAAAAAAAAAAAAAAAAAAAACCTTTTTGGTCCTTTGCATTATGTTCAATATGTAAAAGTGAACTTAACTTACAAAGTGATTTGTTGACGTGCTTTTGTAAATTATTGATATCCATTAATAACCAACGACGGGCGCGTTATCAGTCTTTGATGTGTTATGAGAGTTTGTTATGAAAATCAATTGAACTTTATTTATGCTAAACTACTATTATTGGTGTTTTTATGCGGACTATTGTCTGAAATTTGGCAGATGAAAAGAATGACCGATTGGATTTTTTGATACGTACTACGCTGTGGATTTAGACAAAAGAAAATCACGCATATGTTATGTTTAACCATGGGTGGTTGTGTTGTGACTAATGAGTTTGAAAGCAACCTTACATTCTACTATAACTTTGTCAACTATTGGAGCACTGTACATAGCGATTTCTCAAACATGCAAAAAAACTCTTTGGTTAAAAAGTTTGTATGTAGAGCTTTGTGGAGATTGTTGGAAATAACTAAAGAATAGAAAGTTCGCTATTTTCTTTATTTCACATTGGTAGGGGAAATAAATAACACTTCCTATTTAGAGGCACTTTCCACACCGCATCTGTCGTTAGGAGCTAAGTAAGTTTGATTTTTGACAAATTAGGATTGGATTGGTCAACATGTTGACCATCGTTGACTTCGTGGATCAACAAAAGGAATA